TTGTTCCATACAAAAAATCTGGATTATATTGGTATGAAAGGGATGGAGGCTTTTTCTACTATGTTACTTCTGAATTTCTCCAAGCGACGTGTATTTACTGGAACAACCACAACTTTTTCATCTACTTGCTTTTCGTGAACATAACGTTTTTAAATTTATTTCGCATGTTGAAATTATGAAAATCACTTATATTGTTAAAGGTATTAAAATAGTTTCTTAAATTGATAGTTTTATTCAAAGATTTAAATTTAATTTAAAAGAGCTCTAATTGAGTAACTTGTTTTATATTGTTAAAAGGCAAAGCAAAAGAAAAGTTTTTGGAGCAGTAGTCTCGTACTGATAATCGCAATTCGCGATTCTTGATGGAAAATATAATGTATTATGTAGAGCACAACGCACTAACACTATAAAAACCTTCATCGAATTCATCATAAAAATGAAGCATAAAGGTAATTCTGCTTCAAAACAAAGTTTCAGAAAAAACCGACAACAACAATAAAATGTAAAATGTGAAATAGTTTAGAAATAAGATACCGATCTTTTAGGGTAAAATTCGAGTTACGGAATTCGGGATTTCAGTAAATAAATGGTGTTGACTCATCAATGGACCCCTATCGTTTTTATTTTCTATTTTGTAAAACGCTACACAAGGATTCGGAGGCATTGACACGCGTGAAATATTATAAATATTACAAAGATAAATTAAAAATGGACTAACAAGTAGTGTAGCTTCGCCGCATAACACTCTTTTTTTCGTTATTTTATCGTAATAGTTTATATGATGTTTATATTTAAAAAAGTATACGTTCACGTTTTCAAAAAGAAAACGCCGAAAGGCAGCGGCCGCTGTGGGAAAGCATTGGTAGCGTAGGCCGTGCATCCACGAACATCCCTCCATCGACACTTCAATTTGAATTTTAACTTATTGTTACTACTTAATAATTCAACTTATATTATGTAATAGGCCTATCATTTACCAAGTCAAACAGTCTACTTGTTCAATGATCCATCTAGGTTTCTATTCACAGTGTAGACTAAATTACAGCTGTGAGCTCGCAACATATGACTGTTCGGGATGGACGCTAGTCGGCTCGAAGACATTGCTCACCTTTTCAGTTTTTTGAGAACATTTATTTATTAGTTACTAGCCCCCTGGCCCGGCTTCGCCTGGATTAATATGGCGTTATTTTATTACAGTCCTCTTAAGTCCACTGCTGAACATAAGCCTAAGCAGGTTCCTTGGGGAATCCTGAGCCACCTGCATCCATCGACTTGCTGCATGTCTTACCAGGTCGTTACTCTATTTAGTGGAAGGTCGCCCTACACTACGCCTAACGGTACGAGGCTGCCACTCGAGAACCTTTTTTTCCTATCTGTTGTCGGTTCTTCAAACTATATGGACGGCCCATTGCCACTTCAACTTATAATCCGTTGGGCTAAGTCGGTCACTTTAGTTCTACTGCGGTTATCCTCATTTCTAAATTCATCACACCGAGAAACGCTGGGCATAGCCTTCATCATAGCTTTAGCGCCCTCATACGAACATTAGTAAAGGACCACGTCTCAGATCTATAAGTCATTACTGGCAACATGTATTGTTGCCAGTGATGAACTGAAAACCTGAAATCTCGATTTCAGGTTTTCAGGTATACCTGACAAGAAGATGTGTCGAAATTTCCCAAACGCTGCCCAGCAGAGTTGAATTCGTCGAATGATCTCTGGGTTGAAGTTGGCTTACCCAGTCAAACTATTTATCCCAGGTAAACGTACTCACCAACAACTTTGAGATTAGTGCTTCCAACAACTACAGGCATAGGTGTGACATGGATATTACACGTGAACTTTATTTTATCCATGTTCATGTTTGGAAGACACTATTGAGGTTATTGAGCGCAGGTCCTCAGCGATTCTGCCATAAGGACTATATCGTCGGCAAATTGAAGGTGAGTGATGTTTTTGCCATTGATGTTAATACCGTATCTTTTCCAGTTCAGTAGCTTGAAAACGTCTTCTAATACAGCAGTAAAGAGTTTTGGGCATATAACGTCACCCTGTCTAACACCTTTCTGCTGTTGTCCTATCCAACTATTGTAATCTAGTTCTGTACTCGGATAGCCATCTTAGCCCTACTGTACGAACACTTTTCACTTGGATATACCGACAGTCAATTTGACGTCCGGGATATCATCGGAATAGTGTCGAATAAGACCTGCTCTTGGATCGTTACTCAAACTTGCATGTAGCTCCAGCGATGATGTGTACAGTTATCCGTAGAACTTCTCAATCTCACTCAAAATCTCATCCTGAAAATAATACTGCCACACTCGATCTTCAGCTTTGACCTTTGGCTATTTCTGGCAGACAGATCTCTCGCAAAGACTTTGGAGCCTTGGTTACGCTCAATCACTTTTTCAATACGAATAGTATTAAAGTTTCGTAAGTTCCGCCGCATTCATTTGGAGATCTGTCTGTTCAGTTGCCTGTATGCTGTCAAATCTGTTGAAGATTGCAGCTTCATTTCCCGTCCAACAGTAATGAGATAAAGAGTGTATTCGAAGAGTTTTTGTATTCTTCTGCGGCGGGTCTTACAGAACTTAGCTCCCACCGCATGGACAGTTTCTACGAGATTATTTTTCATATTTTCCACTATATTGCAATGTTCTAGGCCCTAAAAACGGTTTTGTAACTTGAGATGAAAGCTGTTGAAGAGTGTTGACTTTATTAGATGAGACCTCACCAACTTAACGATTAGGTTCAGTGTGCTTTTAACCATTCGGTGATCGCTACCAGCTTTTACCCTTGCGATCACTGAGATATTACTGAACAGTTGCCGTATAGTCGTCAAAATGAAGTCAATCTCATTTTTGTCGACTTGTGTTCTCGTCCTCTTCTCATGAAGTTAGCCAGTTGCTGGCCCGTTGAGTTCCGTTGCTCTATTTCGAATTTACCTATCTTCAGCTCACCGTTCTGTCTTGTGTCTAATTTTGCGTTGAAGTCTACCATTACAATATATAGTGGGTTTTGGAGGAATGTATGGCTCTAGAAATATCCTCATACATATCCTCCACCTCCTTATCGGGATGTGCCGAGGTTGGTACACAAACCTATATGGACTTCGGTGAATACGTTATAGGGTGAAATGGGGTAGGTAGAATCAAAATGGATTATGAGGTTATGGAATCTGTTTCCTAATGATTTCGTGAAAATATTTCTTTACCGTTCGTAATTCTGAGTATAAATTACGCAACCCTCGTCGGCACACTTCCGATCTTAACAAGGTTGTTAACGAGGGACTTGTAGACGATAAATTCGACAATTCCTTGGGACAGATGGTCGCTCTCCCGGTGATAGAACGAGTTGCCGGATTCGAGGATCACCTTGTCTTCCCCCTCTCTTCGGACCTCGGATAATCCTATAATATTCTAGCACAACTTGTCTGTCTCTTCTTCCAACTTCAAGATCTTCCGTCAGTCTTCAAGGTGCGTGCGTTTTAGGTTGCCAGGTCGAGTTATCTTAAGTGGCAACTGAACCTCCACCTGAGATTCTTAGCACCCCCTGCCCCACTATTACCATGGTCGCCACCGTAGCCAGGAATAGCGGGGCTACCGGGAACTGGAGGCCGTCTCTTAGTAACTCTCATCATGAGGAGTATATAGTTGCCACGTTTGGCAAGATTGCCAACCCTCTTCAGGACCTTCTGCTGGAAGACGCTGCTACCAATCTGCTGCCTGTTTTCCTCTGTCGCCTTTTACGACGCCCATGGGAAGATATGGGGTAGTGAATATTCCTAATCGCCGCTACACGGCTAGCGTTATTTAGATATAAAATAATCAAAGAGCATATTATGTTATATCAATTTTTCGGATAAAATATAACCTAGATTACTAAATTACTATACAATCAAAAAATCACACAAACTAACAATTATGCCATATCAATATGTTTGTGCTATGAAATCGAACTTGCGCCTCACGGCGTTGCAGCCTAATATATTAAACTTCTGGAGAAAATGAATTTGCCCCGCAATATAGCAACAGCTCCACACAAATTATTATTTAGATTAGCAAAATCATCAAAAACTAATTTAAGCACAATAAAGCTCAGATGTAATTTAAAGTTTTAGTAGTTTATGAATATTTATTTTCACTTTATAGTGTACACCTAATTGAAAGGGTAACGAAAGGTCGGACCTAATATCATTTAGATCGGTATAGTGATATGTCCATAACAGTAATATATGTGATAAAATTCGCACGTGAGAGTCAAAATATCTTAATAAAGACTAAGATGTTATAAAAATAAGAGCCAGTGTTTATACAAGACATTTATGTATGCCTCCATGCGCACTTTTACAATAAATTTGGACTTTATCCGGCTATTGAGCCAAAAATAATTTAAACATTTTGAGCTAATTTAAACATACACTTTAATTGTGAGAGTTAATAATAATAATAATAATAATAAAAAGTATGGCGTAGGGAAGTGACGACCCCATCGCCCGCTGACGTGACGGTTATGTGACAAAACCGCTACGTCCGCGCAGTCAGTCAGCACCTTGCCAAGAGGTGTGAGCGCCGTGCCTCGGCAAAAATTGATGGTGCAAGGGCCCGCTTGTGCATATGGCCTCACCATGAAACGGCGCCGGGTCTGGGCGTCTCCCGTTAAATGACGCCCTGTATGGATGATGGAACACAGAAGATTGCGCAAAGGGCCGCTGCCTGGAGGTCGTCAGGGCGCGTCTGGAGCTGGCGCTGGACGCGACAGCATGCGAACCGCCAGCCGAGCGCGAGGTGCTGCACGACCACCCAGCAGCCCCTCGCATCCATCATCCCCACCAGCTTGCTTGGTGTCGGCAGGGTCTTCGCAGACCCAGCAATCGGCACCCGCCACTGGTGGAGTACGCCGCATGCGATGGACCATCAATATGAATACAAACGCATTGCGGGCGTATTTTAGGGCGAAAGGGGGGAGAAATTGGAGGTTTCGCGTATCGGGCTAGGATGCATCGTCTTTTTACTGAGCTGAAGCCATCTATTACTGTCACCGAGCAAAACCTGGCAGACCGAGTTCGGTATATCTTACGCTCAAATATATTTGATGACGCCGAACTCGAACGGCTACGACGTGAGGCTGTTCCCTCATCAAATGAAAACGCTACGACTGGGGGTGCGGTGCCACAAGTTGCAGAACAACCCGCACACGTGGATGCCGCCGATAATATCCAGTGGTTGCTGATTCGAATGATGATGGAACATTCACCCAGGAACTAGAACTAGAGCAAATGAGGAGTACATTGGAAGAGGCGATTGTGGAAACGCGCAGTACACCTCTCGAAAATCGATCGCGACTTCCCCGCATAGCCCTAAGGAAGCGGAATCGGGCTGTCGTGAGGGCTCTGAACTCAATGCTGGTGACCTATTTGGAAGCCAGCCGGGACCTTTGCGAGACGGATTCAATTCTCTTTGGCGCCGTACTGGCAGTCTGCTGTATTATAGGCGCCAAACTTTCCACGGCTGGACGCACTACTGGACAAAGTAGTGCTATCCCAGCCTGGAGAACAGGAATTGAAGAACGTATCGCAAAGGCTAGGGCCCTCATCGGCAGACTGATATGCTTCAGGTCGGGCAATACCAGGCCAAGGATTGTGCGCACCGTCAGGATGGCGTTTGCTGGGACAAATGTTAGTTTGTCCCAGCCGGATATAATGCAAAAACTGACGGAGCGCATAGACGACCTGAAGCAGAGAATCGCTGCTTGGGGAAAGCGAATTCGGCGATATACCGAGAGGTCGACACGGTTCAACCAGAATCGTCTCTTCCAGAGTGATCAGAAGAGGCTCTTTAAATCATTGGAGCGACCAATGGTAAGTGGAACGGGCCCAGTACCGAATCAGGCCGACACGGTCGCATTCTGGCGCAGCCTGTGGTCAGAGCCCGTAAACCACAACGAGGGCCCTTGGATGGAAGTTGTGGCGAGTCAGTGTGCGGGTATTACGCCCATGGACCCCGTCACCATAACGCCGTATGACGTAGCTGAGGCGGTCCGTAGGGCCCCGAACTGGAAAAGTCCGGGGCTCAATGGGCTGCATCACTACTGGCTGAAGGGATTCGTGGTGTTTCACGCTATGCTCGCCCGACAGTTTCAAGAGGTTCTCGACCGGAAGTCGCTCCCGAGCCTCTTCACTACTGATATCACCCATTTGGTTCCTAAAGGCCAGGGTACTACAGACCCGAACAAATACCGCCCCATCACGTGTCTACCTACCATATACAAGACACTAACATCCATTTTAAGCGCGAGAATCACTCGTCACCTGGACTCAAATCAGGTGATGTCGCGCGCTCAAAATGGATATCGGGGCGGCGGTCGTGGAACCAAGGAACCACTCCTAATTGACGCGGTCATTGGCAAAGTGGTGAAACGCAACCGTCGGAACTTCTCCGCCGCCTGGATAGACTACAGAAAGGCGTTCGACTCGGTGCCCCATACATGGCTAAAGAGAGTCCTCGAGCTGTACAAGATAGACTGTACAGTTAGAGACTTTCTCGAGCAGTGTATGGGGCAGTGGAGTACGATCCTTTGTCATCTGGGCGAGCGGATGATGGCTGCGGAGAACCACATAAGGATAAGAAGGGGTATCTTCCAGGGCGATTGTCTGAGTCCAATATGGTTCTGCCTCTTTCTGAACACTCTCAGTACCTTACTGGAGGGCTCCGGGAGGGGATTTCAGCTACGGAGAGGAGGGACAAAAGTGACCCATCTTTTCTATATGGATGACCTCAAGTTATTCGCCTCCAGTCGCTCCCATCTTATGGAATTGCTAAACATCACTTGTGAATTTAGCAATTCCATTGGAATGGAGCTGGGGACGGATAAGTGTGCGGTACTCCATGTTGAGAGGGGAAGGGTTGCTAACTCTGAGGGCATAGACTTATCTATGCCCGTCAACTTAAGGACCCTTTCCGAGGCTGAAACATACCGATACCTGGGTATGTCACAGAACATCGGTATCGATGAGGCTGGTATGAAACAGTCTGTTTGCGACGTGTTTTATGCACGCATGGCCAAAGTGCTTAACAGCCTTTTGTCCGGTGTGAATAAGACACAAGCTTATAACGGCTGGGTCATGCCTGTCCTCATGTATACCTTTGGCATACTCAGGTGGACTCAGACTGAGCTTAACGCCCTGGATAGTAAAGTCCGCACTACCATGACGTCCCACAGGATGCATCATCCGAGATCGTCGGTAATGAGACTGTACTTGCCGCGAAAGCATGGTGGGCGTGGCCTCTTGAGCGCGCTCACCATGCATAATCGCGAAGTGTGCAGCCTCCGTAATTACTTCCTGGCGAGATCGGATGATCCATTCTATAAGGACGTCATTTCTTGTGATAAAGGACTTACCCCTATATCCTTAGCCAACGAGCAATGGCAAGACCCGGCAGTGCAGACAATTTCCGACCGAGAGACCGTATGGAAGGAGAAGGAGCTCCACGGGAGGTTCTACAAGTCTCTACATGGGCCTTTCGTAGACACAGTAGCCTCCCTCCACTGGCTACGCTTTGGTGACCTCTTCGGGGAAACCGAGGGTTTTGTCTGTGCAATACATCGTAGGTTAGGTTATTAAGACCAACAACTATCGGAGATACATCCTAAAGGATGGCACCGTCGACATCTGTCGAGCTTGTCGCCATCCCGGTGAGTCACTTAGGCATGTCATCTCCGGTTGTTCGGCGCTTTCTAACTCTGAGTACTTGCACAGGCACAACCTAGTAGCCAGAATTCTACACCAGGACCTCGCTCTGAAATACGGTTTCGTGGATCGGAAGTTGCCGTATTACAAGTACTTGCCGGAAGCCGTGCTCGAAAATGATCGCGCCAGGCTCTATTGGGACCGGGCCATCATCACAGACAGGACTATTCTTGCGAATAAGCCTGATATTGTGCTGATGGACCGGGCACAGTCAAGGATATTTTTGGTCGACATTACCATTCCGTGTGACGAGAACCTCGTGAAAGCCGAAACAGATAAGCAAACAAAATATCTGGACCTGGCTCACGAGGTGACCGACATGTGGGGTGGTCTGCCGACCGAAATTATTCCTGTAGTCGTCTCTGCAAACGGGCTAATCCCAGTCAGCCTCTCGGGTCATCTGAGGCGGCTGGGACTACGTGGCGGACCGCTCCAGGCTCAAATGCAGAAGGCGGTGCTCCTCGATACCGCCCGCATCGTCCTTTTTTTTTACCCGCACCGCCGTATTTATGTATATTTATCTTTTCATTTTCATTTATAATTATATATTTATAGAACCCAACCAGATGAGAAAGACTATATAGATACCCCATAATAATAATACTATCAAATGGTGAGTATTTGCACAGACATAACCAAGTGGCTAGAATAATACACCAACAGCTTGCCATTAAATTTGGCTTTACTCAACAGGACGTTCCATATTATAAGTATGAACCAAAGCCAGTCCTTGAAAATAGAAGTGTCACACTGTAATGGGATCGGTCAATTATCACAGACAGGTTTATAGTGGCAAATAAACCTGACATTGTGGTGATAGACCGAACTACACGCAAGGCAATAATAGTGGATATCAGTGTTCCTCATGACAAATCTGTAAAAGAAGAATTAATTAAATTCAGGATTTGTATTTACAATAGTGTGCAATGGCTTATTGGTAAAAATGGACATTATCTTATTGGTATCGCCTCAAAGTAAGAGGTTCTTCTTTGTCTAACTTCACCGATGGCTTAGAATTCCTCGCCGCGGTGGATAATAACCGAAATAATAATATTATTTATATAGATTGTATTTATATTTATAATATTATAGTTTTGTGATAATATATGTGATAAAAATAATAATAATAATAGTCTTTATTTGCATAAAACATGGTAATTATACAGATGTTCCAGAGTTTTCTTATGCCCACATGTTTTGCTATTTTATTTCTAATAACCTATATAGTATTAAAAATTAACAAATTAAAATTTTTTTCTTAAATTATATGTTTTACAATGTCAAAATGTAGTTTACATTGTCAGAAATTCATTAATGTCATAAATATTTTCGTCAATTAACTAATAATACAATTTTTTTTAAATTGTTTCAATTTCGTCAGGTATTTTGTTGTATATACGTACACACATTGATAAACAGTATTTACTATATTTAGCTGACTTCGGAACTTCGCTTAGAACTAATCTATTCGGATTTTTTTTACGCCTAGGATTAATATCAGATGATTTTTAAATAAATATGTATGCTGTTTTACAAATTTACCTATCTCATAAATATATAACAAGGGCAGAGTTAGTAAAGACAGATTTTTGAGTTAGTAAAGACAGATTTTTGTTTCGTTCATGGCATTATTATAACATTTTTTGCATATACGCATTACAAAAGTTTCTTTAAATAGGAATAATTCTAAACAGTATGCTGTGCGGGTAAGCCGTCAAAACCATTACAATTACAGCCTATGCTAAACATATGGATTTTGCCATAGTTGCCATACTTGGCTATGGGTTGGCAACCGCAGTTTTTTTTTATTTTCTGTTGTTTGAATGATCTGCTGTACATCTCCTTTTTCAGTTTACCTCTGTCACCTCTAACTGAACCCAACATCTCCTTACCAACGCAGGACGATGGGATAGTGGATTTTTACACCGCCACAACATGGTTAATCCGTCACAAAAGCAAAGGCTGTAAATAAAGTTCTATCCATCTGTTTTTAGTCACAGCATTATTACTTTTGTAATTTATAATCGAATAAAAAAGTACTTCCTTCTTTTAATATAATGATCATCATTACAGCCTATCAGAAGTCCACAGCTGAACAAATGCCTCTTGACCTCTTGCATCTCTTACGAGGTCGTCACTGCATCTAGTGGGGCACCGCCCAATACTTCACTTACTGGGACGAGGCCCCCAATTAAGAATATTTCTTCTCCAACGGTTGTTAGTTATTCGAGGTATATGGCTGGCCCATTGTCACTTAAAATTACTGATCCATTGACCTATGTCGGTTATTTCATAAAAATGAAGAGACAAACAAACTCGCAGTCCACCTGATGGTAAGTAGCTACTGCAGTCCTAATTCTCCATTTCAAGGTTCCTGTTTTGCTGCAGATATCCTCGTTACTAATTCTATACGCAGAAAAACTCATAATATAGCATAGCACAGCCCTCTCCATAGCTCGTTGAGCAACCTTGATCAAAATGATACAAATATTCACATGTATTTTCTTAAATCTCTAT